TCATATAGGTCAGCATATGTATCAAGGCTCTCTGGAATCTTTTCAGTATGTTCTTCATGACAGGCAGTTAGGCAGCCAGACTAATCAGATGAAGACTAGTAAAGAAATAAGTGACTTTGCTGCCAAAGTTCGTGAGATCTCCAATGACAACATGGGAGGCCTCTTAGCACTGCGTGATGATGTGGACATTGATACAGCTGTGTTTAATGATCACAGTGTTGTTGAACTGACTGCTGATGAGTCTGTGAACCAGATATTAAAGGTAGATTATGATGACAGTGAGGCTGGCAATGTCACAATTAAAGCAGAAAACACTTGTGAACTAAATAGTGATGTACATTTTTTTATTGATGAGGATGAAGACCCTGACTATGATGAAGTGTATGATGGGAACATTTCACTAGAAGAGGAAGAAAGGCTATTGGCAGAAAATGTTCACCTGATAATGTCTGAGATTCAGACTACAAAAATGAGTGGAAGCACAGTGGATGAAGATCTGTTTATTGAGAATGAAACTATATCCCTGGTATCTAATGACTATGCCTCTGACACAAACTCTGAGATCTCCACCACTTGGTCAGACAAAAATTCTGACTTTTCCTCTGCCACACTAGCTGAGAACAAAAGCCATGGGTCATCAAAAAGTGGCCCAAAGATAGTTAAGCCAGGAATGAACTTGGCTCATGTCCAGAGGTTGCCACAAGAAGACTGTGCAGAGGATGCTAAAGGAATACGAGGAAGAAGGAAGCCGTTGTACCCAGGCAAATCAAACAATGCCAAAGTAAAACCTGGCTCAGTTTCACAAAACACTAAAATTGTTCTGCCACAGAAAAGCGCCAGTGTTCAAGCCATTAAAAAGACACCACCTAAGCAACCAATGGTTGCTCAGGTGTCTCCAAGAACTAGGCAGCCAGGGCAGAATTCTCAGATTAATAGTAACCCCAAAAAGGAAATGCAGAAGAAAACCAGTCCAAGGTCAAGGTCTGCTGGTCCTGCCCCTGGAAAGGTCACCACAAATGGTAAACAATCTAACCCAAGGGCAGCTCAAGGCAACTCTCCAGCAGCTCGTTCCAGCATGACTAAGCCAGTTGTAACTAAACCCTCCAGTTCCCCTCCATCAAGCACAGCTACAAAAAATACCAATGTTGTGAAGCCCACAACCCCTCCTACCAAGCTGCTTGTGAACAGTGGAGGTGGCTCTTTTTCTAACACTGTCAATCAAACACTGAGCTCCGAAAATAAAGAAAATAAACAGAGAACAGAGTCCTTGAATATTACATCAGGTGACTCAGGAAATAGACTGTCCAACGGCCTGACTAGTGATTCTTGGAACAAAACATTCAACTCTTCTGACTATATAGAAGAAAATGCTCAAGATAAACCGGTTCAGATGAATTCTAAAGAAGCTCCTGCTGTAAAACGTGCCTTAAAAACACCCAACAAATCCCCAAGTTCTATACCAACTATTGCCAAAGCATCTGTCAGCTGTAATAATAGTCAAAACCAATCTAAATTACCTACTTTAAGCCAAGGAAATAAAGCATTTGCTAATGTGTCACCAAACCAAACAAATAAAATAGCAGCAACCAGTGCTTCAAGATCAGTCAGTGGGAATTCTCTAAGCCAAACTGCTAGTGAAAAGAAATCATCAATTACCAAAAATATTAGTAGCCCTGCCAATGTTGGCACTGTTAAAGGGTTTAATAGAAGTTTGAGCAATGATACGAAAGCCAGCAATGTTAATAGATCCAATGATAGTTTGAAAGCACCTAATCGACCTTTGACCCCAGTTAGTTCTGGTAACAGTCGCAGATCTTCTCATTCATCTACATCTGGTATTCCTACAAAAGCTTTAGATGGATCAAACTCATCACTTAATACAGAATGCAATAAACGAACACCGCCTGGTGTTTCCAACAAGAAACAAGTGCCTAGCAAGATAGCAGCATTGTGGAAAAGAGACGGCAGCCTTGAAAGATCACCTTCAAGAGAAAGCCCTTCATCTTCTGCATCATCTTTGTCCAAACTTCCAGTGTCTACATCTCCTAGTAGCACCAAACCTAGCAGTCTTCCACCCTCTGGGTTTAAGGCAAAGGCAGCAACTCTACCAGCATCCTCCAGCCTTACAGTATCTAAGTCTTCTTCTGATGGCCTCTGTAAAAGTGCAACTTATGAAAAGATTGCTTCTGATGTGAAGGTAGCTAAAAGTAGTAAGCAGAGTCCTAAACAAAGCCAGCCCAGGGTCAAGAAAGCTGCTGATGTCTCCAAGTTGACCCAACAGAAACAAACAAGCTATGAATCTCCGGAGAGTGGTGTGAGGAGAGGGGAAGTGTTTGAACTGTATGATGACCATGAGGAGGATGATCAAAACCTTTATGACACAAATGACAGTTTAGAGAGCAATGTCTTTGATGACTCCATGCTTAATCATCAAACAACCAATGACCACTCAGAGTCAGCTGACTCTCTTGATCAAAGTTGTGACTCTAGCACTCATATAGACTCCAGCACATTCAGAAAGAAAAGGAGAGACCCAAGTATCTCTAACTTGGAGTTACCCAATGCTGACGAGACTTGCAAGTCAATGTGTTCTTTTAATGATTCCATAGGATTTAACCAGAGCCTTGGGTTCAAACAGAAAACTTCAGTGACTGACATCAGTTTCATTAGTGACAAGAGTATGAGTGACACAAGGACATCCAAAAATGACAAGAAAAACAAACAGGAGGAGAAAGGAATAACTAAGTCCAAAGTAGCTCAAGGACTCAAACGACTTTTCAGTTCCAGCAGACACAAGGATAAGGAATCCAAGAAGAACAATGAACTTCCCAAGTCTAAATCTGCTGATAAAGAACTAAGCAAGGGTAAAAAATGTAGCAACAAAGAAAAGAAAAATCACAAAGATAAAAAGGACTATGATTTTTTTAGTGCTAACATTAAGATTGAACCCTCAACAATGTGTGATATGGAGGATAAATTAATCTGTCACCAAGGGACATCAACTTCCATAACGCCAAAACCAGGACAGTTACGTACTGAACACAAAGTAAGCCCATCTGCCATTGTGGCCCCTTTTAATTATAATCCTCCATCCACTATGCCAAATGGTAATGCCAGTGGCTTGGTAGCAGAAATTCTCTCCTCCATGCCAGTGTCAACCAGCCAGCAGTGTTCTGATGACCACCTGGGTGAGAACAGGGACAGTGATAGTCTGTCCTCTAATCCTGGAAAACACTTGACAAAAACAGAAATGTTGTTGGCAAGAAGACGACAGAGAAATCTTTCAACAGGTAAAGATGACAGTAAGAGTGATGCAGAACTATTGGCAGCTTGTATGGTGACTACAGTTTAGACCTGTAATATTCACTTCATCATTGAATCCACTAACAATAGAATGAATCTATTAACATGAAAACATTGATTTTTGTAAAGGTATTTTATTTGTGGATAGCTGGCATTAGGTCACAATCTATTTATTGAATGACATTTCTTCTCATCAGTTCACATAGAGTAACACAAATCTTTTTTTTTAATTTGTACATTTTTATCTCCTGTTTGGATTTAGATTTGTCTCAATGTTTGATTTGGTTATGAACAAAAATGTCAAGCCAAAAAAAAAATTGTTGGACCTAGAAATAGTTGGCACACTGGTCAAATTCTTTTTGAAAGGAAAGAATTCTCACTTTCTTTCGACTCCATAATGTGGGGTGTAGAAAAACGTAGATTTTTCTGTTTGTATTTATATTGCCATTAGTTTTAAACTGTGGTGGGATTTAAGTGGTGTTTCTACTCCCTACAGGTCAGTGTTTGCACTATTTCAAAGTTCAGCATAAGTAATCCTTTTTTTTTTGGTTACTGTTGACTGGGAAGTGACCCAACTAGAAAGATATGCATGTTGCAGCTGAACATTTTATTTTGTTTCATAAGCTGTATTTCAAAATTGACTTTGTATGTTGTTGAGTAGGTCATTTTTTAAACTGGTCATCCTGTGTACTTGTCCATTCATACAAAGGTAGCTAGTCTAATATTAGCCATAGCATTTAGTGCCTGCTGTGTGGTGCTGCTGCTGTATTAACACCCTTGTCTACTTTTCTTTCCCCCCTCTGACTGACTCAGTTCTGAGTTGATGACAAATTTGTGTATGTGTGCTAAACTTTCCATTGCCATCCTCCTAATAATGTCTTCACCACCCTAAGGTTAAATCATTTCATAGGTGAGTATGGAATAGTGAACTATGTATATATGTCTTGAATGTCCCTTATGTCCTGTGACCAATCTGTTGGAGTCATGATCATTTTCATAGATCCCACAACTGAGGTTAGCATCACTCACCATCTATGCATTTATTGAAAAAACTTTTGATTTGATAGGCTGACATGTGGCATTATTTTGTTTGGACTAGTTACACATCTATGTATTGATTGAAAACAACTGTTGATTTGATAGGTTAACTGCATGTGGCATTAGTATGCAATGTGACACATCTATGTTAATGTCAGTTTCTCTTAGTTTTTAGGTTTTTGTAAAGTGTTTGCTTTTATTTGTTCATATTTTCACAAAGTTATTGACACATCTGTGCTGATGTCATGAGTCTAGCAATGAGTTTATGTTCTGTGTACAGCATTTTACCTATTGCAATATTTTGCTTTCTAAGGCACTGTTGTACAAACTTCATTGTGTATTTTTGGTTGTAACTTACACATTGTCTCCCTTTGAAACACAATTTTGTTAGCTATTGTCATCAATGGGTAGGTTGTGTTTATATTTTGAACTGAAGTTCTGCAGACATAGATAAATAGGCCAGGCCTATATTCTTTTGCGAGTTCTGTCTACACATTTAATTCATTTTTTAATATTTCTTTTTCATTTATTTTTTATTGCAAGCATATGTTAAAAAGCACAAAAAGTTAAAATAATGTCCATTATTCATAGAATCCAAACCTAGAACTTGTTCTTAAACGTGTGCCAACAATGATTTGTGTAGTCCACAGAGTTCTATTCTGAATTTCATTTGAAAGCAATGGATCAAATCATTAAGATATGGATCAAATCTTTTATTTTCTTGTTTCTTAACACAATTTACACACACAAAAACTTTATCTTTTTGATTATTTTTTATTTTGAAATATACACAAAATGTAAATAATTTTAAAAAAATAAATTGTCAAAATGTCCAATTTGATTTGAATATATTTATTCTAATATATTAAATATATATACAAATATTGTTTTTATAGAAAAGATGAAAGCTATTTATGAATTTGTTATTTGGCTTTTGATGCACATTTAATGTTCAAAACATGTGGATCTGATTTGATAAATGCTAGCAGTCTATAATAATGTGTCCTATGTTTTTTTTAAAATCTAGGTTGTGCTATCTCCCGGTATTTTTGTTCTTGTGTGCTTGAAGTTCAATAGAGTTGATTTTGTATGGGCCTAGGTGAGAGCTACCCATTTTTATGTCATAGGATATGTCCCAATCACCAAACAGTCAGTGACAAGTTCCATTTCCTAAGTATCAAAATGATTGCAAGGCTCAAGTTAGGTATTGACAATGTTGAATAAACACTTAAAAAGAGAATCGCTCTCAACCTTAGCTTTATGTACATACATGTGTACTCAAGGAATAAGTTGATTAGTTTTGTGCCGAACTTAGTTACCTAACACATCATATTCAACTAGTTATCTTTGGACCTTGTAGGAAAATACATCAACTTTGTGTGCTTGCTTTTATCCCTGTACTATGACAATAGTCTTTTTGTATTGAACTTGTGTAAAGTATACCTGCTTTACTTGTGTACTTTTGGTTTGTACCTCTAGTTTTGGTTTAAAAGTGCAATAACAATTTCTACTTAATGGAATCTACTCTTCAACAACCAGCCCTGACATTGCTTCGCACTAATCCTGCAGCCCTAATGTTTGTAGCGATGAGTTATGTCTCTTTGTATAAATCATTTTTTGTACGTTGTTTTCTATGATTGTTTGTACTGTACAGATTGTCTCATGAAATAAAACACTTTATTAACAAAAGCTTGTAATTGTGTGTGTCACTTGAAGTCTGGTGAACTGATTCGTGTCTTGAACACAATCCATGCAGCAGAGCTATCAGATGTTGGCTTCCTGATCACTATAATTTTATAACATGTTATCCCCCTTGTAGCAGGTAAAGGTAGAAACAAGTTCTTGTGTTAACACACTGCGATCTATTTTTAGTATTATTAAATACAACAGACTGAAACAAAGATTTAAAAAATCAAATCTTGACTACAAGCACAATCCAGACACATCTTGCTTGTTAAATTATTTTCAGTCCTCGCGACAATTTGGTTCCTTTATTTTGACTTTGTGAGGAATTAGAAAGTATCTTGTGCTGCTCAAGCTAAACATATTTCACATTATTTCATGTCACAAGCCATTCATAGCCACACAAACAGAAATGAGATCTTTTTATGCAGCGGTAACTTCAATGTTTGGCTGATTATTGTTTCATATAGGAATGGCTTATCCATCACATAGCATTAGCTTTTTGTAATACAGCGCTATAGGCAATCCATAAAACAAAATATGGTTAATTAAGTTTCCATCTGCTAATTATTGATCAGCCTAGATTATGTTATGGAATCTGCATTCAAATGAGGCCTGGATCATTTAACTGTTTGACTGAGGACGTCTTCGTAAATTTCCTAAGAGTAGAGTCTAAGACTCTGGAACTCTAGGCCTATGGAAGCTTGTCCTAAAAGTGGAGTCTAAGACTCTGGAACTCTAGGCCTATGGACTGCCAATACTAAGGATAACTAAGCATAAGTTTCGTTCAACTCCAAAATGTGAGACGAGGTACTTCCGGTATAAACTTATTTTTTGACATTCACGATATTTGAATGATAATGCCAGCTTGGATAATATATTTCTCTTTTCATCACATTTGACAATTTCTTTTTACATTGTATACTATTAATATGAGTTAAATAAGCGATTAATGAAAGAGTCAATACAGTTTTGAGAGTGTCATTTACTACTTAGGTAGCCTATAGGCCTATAATGGGTGATAGTCTGTGAGTGAGTCAGTCTAAAAAAAAAAACCAATAGTGAGTCCCTGAGCACTGACATCTTTACCAACTTTTATTTACCCGGTACATCTAGATTCTATACCTATTTTTTAAAATTTATTTGTAGTATTTTTTTAAGCTAGCATGCAGTATGCATTATATATATATAAACTAGTTAGAACACTATCTATGTAAATGCTCTTTTTTTAAGTTGGTAAATTAGATTCTGTTGTTATAAAAATCTGGCTATGTCTTACGAGATCTAAACGGGACAGACGGACAGACATTTCGCACAAAACTAATAGCGTCTTTTCCCCTTTCGGGGGCCGCTAAAAAAGCAAATTACACACTGAAAAATCTTTAAGCGTAACCAAAGGGGTTTAAAATTTAAACCCCCCTCCAGTGGGGTTTGAAACTAAAAAAAATACTTCATCAATATAAAAAAAAAGCAAATTACACGCTCAAAAATCTTTGAGAGTAACCAAAAGGGTTTTTAATTTAAACCCCCCTCCAGTGGGGTTTGAAGCTAAAAAAAATACCTCATCAATCTGCCGAAATTGAAAAACACAAAATGTGGCTCAACAAATATTGCTAAGACGGATTTTAGGAGTCAGTTATAGCGATCGGGTCTCAATCAAGGAAATGCTATGCCAAACTGAAAGTCAACCCCTTGGTAAGGTTGTGACAGAGCGTCGCATGAGGTTTGCGGGACATGTATTGCGACAAAATGTATTACGCATAATAAGAGTTGCAATGACATGGAGACCATTACGAGGAAATCGCAAACAGGAGCATTCTAGTACAACTTCACGACACACTTTCATAGAAGTCCTTAGATCAGGTAAGAAGAGGCTTCAGACATTGCCAGTGACAGATTTTTGTGGAAACAGCTTGCCGCCCAATCAGCGGAATGGCGCGGGAGGATCTAAGTCAGTAAGAATAGCACAGGTTTTGAAATAAAACTTTTTAATAGCAGAATAATGCACTGTAGATACCTCAGAATATGCATTTTTTAGGCTTTCAATACCGGAAATAGTGCTTGGCGGCGGGGCGAAGCGCTGGGGAAGCTCACAGTGCTCCCCCAGATCCCATTACTGTTGAGCTCGGGGAGTCTACAAATATATATATATATATTTATATATTACATATATATATATTGTGGCATTTTACGTCTCGAGAGACGATCTTTTCCCTTTGCAACTTCTTGTGTGCCTAAAGAGGCCAATCCTTGATACACAGCTGCGATCGCAAGTTAGGCATATATAATCACCATTGCCGTTGCATTTTCACCCTTCTTTCTGCTTCTGTATGACATCTGCAATCCGTGACCCTTCCTTTATGCTCTCTCTACATGTGGATCTGTCCTGTGCCACCTCTTCCCAGTTGCCAGTGTCGATTTTGAAGAGCTTCATGTCATGTATAACGTAAAAATGGGCGACCAGCGGCTCTCCTGCCTTCTATTAAATCGCCATACAGGATGTCCTGTGCAAGTCGACCTACTGGCATTCTACGAACGTGGCCAAGCCAGGCAAGGCGTATGCTGCTGATAACAGAGTGGATGTCCTGGCACCCTGCTCTTTGTAGCACTTCCTCATTGGTTATCTTATCTTGCCACCTTATTTTAAAGATCCGCCTTAGGCATCGGAGGTGGAAGACATTCAGCTTTTTTTCCTGCCATGAGTAGGTTGACCATGTTTCACTTCCGTACAGCAAGGTGCTTGACACACAGGTCCGGTAGACTAGGGCTTTAGTACTGCTAGTCAGCAATATGTTGTCCCAGACTCTTTTCTCCAACCGTGACATGGTGGCCATTGCCTTGGCTATCCTGTTGTTTATGTCTTTATCCAGTAGAGTGTTGTTGGATATGATGGAGCCAAGGTAACAAAAGTAATCAACAATTTCTAGTTGTTGGCTATTAATGCTTACTTGAGGTGCAGTAAGTATCTTAGTCTTGCTTTGACTGATGTTTAAGCCGAACTTCTGGCAAGCAGCAGATAGTTTGTCAACCAGGGAATGTAGCTGAATTACAGAATCAGCCCCAATAGCTGCATCATCAGCATACAGGAGTTCCCTGATGAGTAGCATAATGCAGTAGACAGGAGAAGAATATGCTAAACAGAGTAGATGCGAGCACACATCCCTGCTTGACACCACTGCAAACCTCAAAAGGTGCTGATTGGGCTCCATTGAATTTGACAGTACATTTAGTTTCCTCGTAAAAACACGCAATGAACTTCAGTAGTTTGGGAGGGCAACCTATTTTCCTCAGGAGTTTGAAAAGGTCACTTCTGCTGACCATGTCAAAGGTTTAGTCAGATCAACAAAAACGATGTAAAGGGGTCTGTCTCTCTCTCTCTCTCTCTGAATTTCTCCTGCAATAGTCGTAGAGAAGATATCATGTCTATAGTGGATCTACCACTCCTGAATCCACACTGAGACTCTGGGTAGACTCTAGAAGCTATCACTTGCAGCCTGGATAGTGCCACTCTAGTCAAGATCTTGCCCACTATACTGAGGAGAGAGATACCCCTGTAATTGTTGCAGTCACTCCGATCCCCTTTGTTCTTGTATATTGTGACTATAGTTGCCTCACGCATGTCCTATGGGACATGACCTGTTTCCCAACAGCGGCAGAGGAGAATATAGAGTTCAATGAGCAGAAGTGATTCGTTGACTTTAACTACTTCCACTGGGATACCATCACTCCCTGGAGATTTTCTATTTTTTATGCAGTTAATTGCTTTTTTGAGGTCACTAAGGCTCGGAAGCTCATCTAGGCATTCCAGTACTGGAAGATCTGGTAGAGAAGCCATGGCGACATCGTCTACTTTATTCTGTGTGGCATAGACATCGAGGTAGTGTTCTGTCCATTGTTCTAGCTGCTTGGTTTGATCTGTAATTTTTTCTCCTGATTTGGATAGAAGAGGGGCAGGCTTAGACACTGTTGGACCCAGGGCCGCTTTAATGCCATCAAACAGAGCTTTGCTATTTCCTGAGTAGAGACTGTCTTGGATTCTGTTGCAGGTATCCCTCCAAAAGTTGTTAGCACATTGTCTAGCCATTTTTTTCGCCTCTTTATTAGCACTTTTGAAGGCCTCCAAAGATTTTGGACTAGGCTTTGTCTTGTGAGCGAGGTGTGCAGATCGCTTTTTCTCGATGCAAGGTTCCATATGTGTTAGATTCGCCTGAAACCAGTCTACATTTTGTGTTTTTTAGGCCCAAAGGCGGTGATTGCCGAACTGTAGATTACATCTCTTAATTTCTCCCATCTGTTAGAGATGTCTTCTTCATCACTTAACGAGGGGATTGAACTGTTCAAGAACTCGCCAAAGAGTGCACACTTCTCTGGGTCACCTACATGGTTAACGTTAATTCGCCTAGTTCTGGGTTGAGTGCAAGTATATATGCATTGTGATGGATGTTTAATTCTGTACTGAAGTTAACTTTAGATGATTGTTAGATTTCAATCAATTACTCAGCAAGCGTTTGGGTGTCTTGTTCGGGTGTATTCAATGTAGTTGAACGACAGCACATAATCAACAAACATTGATTTAACTAGTGAAAAGATGTGGTCAACACTGATGAACAATGAATAATAAGTTTAATCCATTAAAAGGCCACAGTCAGAGTCTCTGTCGAATAAAACACATCATTACCCTAGAGAATCATATTGCTAACTGATTTTCCAGTCTCTAACCCAAAATAGCCCAAGCGTCACTAGTCCCGTTCAATATACGTCTTCTATGGTGCGTCGCTAAACAACTAATACTATAAACTAAGTGCCTCACAATATAAATGTTATATATATATATATATATATATATATATATATATTTAGCGCGGGGGGGGGGGGGGAGAAAAATCCCCTCGCCCCCCCCCCCCCCGAAAAAAATCATGGTTACGCCCATGGTGATTTATTACCAATTCAGTTAATTTACTAACTGTTTTTTTTTTATATCGATACGTGTGTTGTCAGGTAAAAGA